AGCGTGGCCTCGAGTTTTTATTTAGAAGAATCTGACCTGAAAGCCCTGTTGGCACCCGGGTGTTTTTATGCACCCCACGCTTGCTTAGAGATAGTAGTTTTTACGGGGAGAAAGGGAAGCCACTGTGGTGTGGGCATGAAGAGGCAGCAGATTGGGGTGGTTAGGCTGAATGTGGGCCCTGAATGGGGTGAGGGAAAGCCGGTTGTTCTTTTCGAGGGCTGGATTGGGATTGGGAAAAGCGGGAGACCAGGTGCTGAGCTTCATTTGAGGGTGAAGTTGGACCCTGATCCAAGATATGTGTTTCAGTTTGAGGACGACACTAAATTGAGTCCCCAGATTGTTCAGCTTCAGGGCAACGTGAAGCAACCTATTTTTAGCTGCAAGTTCAGTCGAGACAGGTGATTTGGAAAATGCTTGCTACTTATTCCTTGTATCTATTCTTTGATTTTTTTTATCTCATTCTTGTAACTTAACTGGCCACTTGGTATATTTCTTCAGACTTACAGTATTTACAAATAAAACCGGTGTTACATTTTGAAATGTAAAATTAACTTATGCCTGTTCAAATGTAAGAGGGAATCAAACGAGGGATCATTTCGTAATTTTGGAAAATAATGCCAGATTCTTTCTGAAATTACCATGATCATGTTGCTCAAGTTGTACCTTGTGGTACAAGTATGTGCCTCAGTTTATTTATTTATTTTTTTTTATAGTCCTCTCCCTTGCCTCTAGACCCTAAAACCCAGGTTCTTTTTGACATTATTCCCTATTGCGGATCACTGAAAACTTGAAAGACAGATATATTTTTGGAGTGCCCTCACTTGAGAGCCTGACAGATTTAAAAAAAAAATAAATTATCATCTCCTGGTCGGGTCCTACCGTTTGCATATAATTGCTTATTGCTAACATACGTCTGTAATGAACTTAACCACTCAAATGCACCTTCGCATTCAGTGTATATGTTCCTTATCACTATAAAAAATTGTTCAGGGTATCCCAGGGGGACCCACTCTGGTCGAGTGCCGCCGACCAAGACAGCGAGAGACGAGAAAGGAAAGGTTGGAGAGTGAAAATACACGACCTCTCGGGCTCAGCAGTTGCTGCCGCTTTCATAACGACCCCGTTCGTCCCCTCCACGGGCTGCGACTGGGTGGCCAAGTCCAACCCAGGCGCCTGGCTCATCGTCAGGCCCGATTCTTGCCGGCCCGAGAGCTGGCTCCCTTGGGGAAAACTCGAGGCTTGGCGTGAACGTGAACGTGGGATTCGGGACTCCATCTGCTTCCGTTTTCACGTCTTCGCTGAGGGTGGGGAGTTTCTGATTTCGGAAATCCTGCTCAGTGCCGAAAAGGGTGGGGAGTTTTTCATAGACACTGACCAGCAGGCCCGGACAGGGGCTGACCCGAGCCCGCAGAGCAGCGGGGACTTTGCAGCCTTGAGCCCAGTGGCAGGTGGGTTCGTGATGAGGTGTCGGGTACAAGGGGAGGGCAAACCGAGCAAGCCCTTGGTGCAGCTGGCCATGAGGCACGTGACGTGCGTGGAGGACGCGGCTATATTTATGGCGCTTGCTGGGGCTGTTAATCTGAGTATCGAGGCGTGTAGAACCTTCCGAAAGAAGGTTCGAATAGGGGCTCATTCTTGGTGATTTGTTTGTGGTCGGCGTAGTTGTTTCATTGGGCCAGGAATAGAGCAACTAGTGACCCCGTTTTGGGGTTTCTATCTGTGTTGTAAGACTAGATTGTATGTACAGAGCATGAAAACTTGGCAGTGTGGTGGTTCTAATTGTCTCTCTCACATGTCAGAATTAACTCTTGAACGAGTCATTTGGTATAGCTGTGCTCATAACTGCTTTAAAATATTCAACGATCGCTAGCGTCCGTTTCAGTCGGATGACCGACCTATCAATTGATATAAATGTTGTTAACGTATATCACAAAATCCTGTTCGATAAGGTCAATGCTCGACTCGCCTCCACGGGGGCGTCTCTACATACAAAATTTCAGCCCAACCGAAAATTGTCGACACTTAGGGTATGTTTGGTTCAAGTAAGGGAAAGAGAGTTGAGGGATTTTAATGAAAGGAAGGTGAAAGGAGAGGATAGGATGTAAAATAATTTTACCTTGGTTAGAGAGATTTTGTAGGAGGTGAGTGGAGGGAAAATGGTAAACCTTGTTTGGTAAGGAAATGAGAGGTGAAGGAAAATAATGTTAAAATGACAAATATATCCTTAATGATATTAGAAATAAAAATTAAAATTTTATAGACAATAAGGGCTAAATAGTAAATGTATTACTTAAAATTTCCCTCCCCTCCAAATTCCCCCATTTTTGGAGGGGAGCAAAAATGGAGAGGGGAGGGAATTCTAACTTAAAATTTTCCCTCCCCT